TCGAAGTTTTCAGGTGTTTTTGGCATCAGTTGCACTTCTTTCGTCATTACAGCAAAAACACAGAATCTACGCAAGTAAAAGCACCTCTGGGAGACCTCCCTGATCAGCAATATCATGTCAATTCGATGAGCCATCGAATTGACATGATTATTACTTGCTGGCCGGCTGTAATATGAATAACTTCTTGATGAAAAATCATTTTTTTCTAACTACTATGGTCGACACTCCACCGAATTAACGTGATTCCCACTCACTGGCTGGCTTTTAATACAAATATGAATTTGGCTTGATACAATAATTATGAATCAGACGTGAATTCCTACTCACTGGATTAATTTGCCCTTTGGGTCATGGGAAGCAAAACACTGTTAATATTTCATGCTTCAGTACTAGCGTTGAATTGTTTTCATGGAGACGTTCGCTTTGTGTTATTTCAGCTTATTTAGGCCAAGGTGGACCTTCACGATTTACATGTATAGTGCGGAATACCAAAGATTCCTCTTGCTTGTTTTGTCATCAATGTCAGGAGATTTCATCATACTGACCTGTAGACCTTGAAATCATATAATTCCTAGAAAGTAATTAGCTGTAGGGATTTGCTTAGACGTGTCTCGCACGAGTTAGCAGGAGTCTCGAACGCGGATCCCTATTATAAAAATATTTTTGTCAGCTTGGAAGCAAATACCGTCGTAAAGCACTGAGACAGTTCGTGTAGCCAGCAAAGCCATGAACAAATCGACCACGAGGTCAATCCATTGGGGTTGAATGCTGTTGCAAATATACAGACGCTGTTTTAGCCCTTCCGCATGCGAAACTGTGTCGTGAATCAACATTTCAAGCACCACCCATTCGGCGTTACAACACAGCAGCCAACGTGGGGAGTTTCAGCGATCTTTACACCCAGGATGGTTTTTGTTTTTTAGATAAGTAACAGAAACATCAAAGCACATTTTAAAAGTTTAACTTTTTAAGCTCTTCCGCCCAAGCACCTCGCGCGGTGTGTGAATATCTCCTTTAATCTAAAGCTGGCACAAGCGTTCATTTGTTGCTGAATCATTCAATTCAATCCCCTTGCCGGAGTACACCAAGATAACATTTTAGGATGTTTCACTTGTCGTTTTGGGGTCGACGGTAAATTTTTTAACCTTTGTACTCGATGGAACTAAAACATAAAAATCAACTTCTCATGTCCTGAATATCTCTTGCTGTATTATAGTGAGTAGCATGAATAGAGCTAAATTGTATGTTTTTTTTTCCGCGAAGATTAAGTTGTCGCACAAACTTGTCAGATGTTAAATCGGTACCTCAGTAATGAGTACTCTTTGTTGATCCTCTTTATCATTCTTCCAAGTAAGAGTTATAGTTGTGTTTTCCCAGAAGCGATACTTGGGAGGTTCTTTACTTCCACGTAATAAATTCATGGATCATGTTAAATTGATTACACTTAAAAGATCGACTTCCCATTTTGTATGGTATGAATTTCTAACAAAGAAAATAAAAAGAACTATAGCATTGCCCCAACTGACTCAATTGAGTCGGGAAAGGAAGTCAATCTAAATTCTGAGTCAACCGGAAGGATCATATTGTATTTAGATTTGCTTTAACGTGTCTCGCATGTGTTGACAGGGTCTCGAACGAGCATCCTACTATAGAAATATTTTTCTCAGCTTCGAAGCAAATACCGTTGTAAAGTGCTAAAACAGTTCAACAGTGTGTGGTCAGCAAAGCCATGAACAAATTGACCACGAAGTTACTCTTCCTCTTAATGACTGGATGTTTCTTGAATAGAGTGAAGGGCTACCAGTGTAGTGCGACTGGTACTAACGGAATAGCTGCCTGCCAATGCAACTTCATGGAGGCTTGTGATGCACAAGGAAACCCGAATCCAAACTTAGCAGACTACTTGCCAACAGGTGTGGATCAGTTCGGGCTTGTCCAGGGAGGGCAGCGAAACCTGGCGTATTTGTGTGAAGGTGTGGGTGCAGTAGGAATTCTGTATGACTGCAATAACCGAATTCCTCTCTATGCGGCCACCGTGATCCATGGAGCCCAGTTAACAGGAAAGAGTGGTGGTCGACCACGCGTTAAATTTTCACAAAGCAGGTTACTCAATCCGCATTTTCAACAAGAAAATGGTGATTACATACGTGCTTTAAAGCGAGAACTTTGCTATAGAAAACAAATAGAGAGAAATTACTGCGTTGAAGAGGACTGGTTATTTGCAAGTGGACACAGAAAACGTAAGCGTTTTAGGACTCGAATCTGTCCTGGAGGATCGGTAGTCAAAACATCAGTACACCGCGGACACTTGATTGCCTCACAATACGGCCGTAGAGATCAAGCCAAGAAAAGAGCAACTTTTACCTACACTAATGCTGTGCCTCAGTTTGGAGGTTTTAATTCATATCCTTGGCGAGTCTGTGAAAGTCGTCTTATTACATGGGGAAATCAAAACTGTGCTCAGGTGAAAGGAGCAACGAATGTTCGGTTATTTGTCGTAGTTGGTGCTATTCCATCAACAGTAAGTGTACCCTCGAAATGGAGATATTTTGGCAAAAGGGGGTTCAGCAACTACAAAGACACTATCGGCCATTACCGGGTCAACCTGCCTAGTGACATGTGGACTGCTGCCTGCTGTACTTACAGCGATAAAGGAACATTGAAATATCGCAGCACGGCCTTCTGGAGGGAAAACAATCCGGGAAACGCACAATGTAATAGGGCAGACGTAGGTTACTTAACGAGGTTATTGTCGGGAAGGATTTCCGGTGGAACCGTGAGTTTCAATTTATTTCCGCAAACATCCCAGTGCAACAGTAAGCAAAATTATATCCCTCTACCGTGACGGACACTTGTCACAGCGAACATAGATTAAGAAAGGCCACCGAGAGCTTAGAGGAAGCCTATTAAATTTCAGCCGAGAGCTAAACATCTTATCTTTCAGACGGGGGTCAAGTTCATTAAGAATGTAAAAACATCAAGGCTTAAGATTATACATGAACTCACTTTTACAAAGAGCAATCTTCACAGATATAAGCTTTTCAACCTCGTTAGTGGGTTGAAAAATAAATTTTTGGGAAGTTAGATGCTTAACTTTTATGTCTGGATTCGGTCTACTATACTGCATTTGGCAACATGTATCTCTGATCTCAATTCAAATTCTATGAATGAAACAGATATGTGACAGAGTAAATAAGACTTTTATTTGATGTAAAAAGATCAAAGAATAAAATCGTTCTTGTTAAACCGTTTTGTTATTGCTTATTATGGAAGAAAAATCGTACATTCAACGCTTAACACATGCATATGTTACGAGCTATACATATAGCCTCCTTGACCCCAATTTTTGGGCCCAGTAGCTCATCAAGGTTAGAAAGTACGTGTATCATTCAATGCACATGAGCTGTTCGCTCGGTTTGGTATTCAAGGTGGTCACGAGTAACAGCTGTCGAGAAATTTTAAAGTAAGCGTGCAGTGGTGACTTGTTCATGTGTAATTTATAATTTTTCATCAATATTTGTTAAGAGGAAATTAATGACATCTTAAGCTAAAACATACGAGTTAATGTTCTGCATTTTGTGTAAATAAACACGGACATTAGCAGTCCGCCTTTATCATATAAACAGGAAAAATACACCTTTTTCCCCGAACCCTTTTGACGAAGACATGGGATGTGCTCTATCACGTCTATGAGAAAGGCGGGTGATTATTTCAGTATCGGCACGAATTACTTTGTTAATTTCCTCTCTTTCTGAGAATTTCTGAGCAATCACAAAAAAGGTTAAAGGGGTAAAAGGTGACTCACTTTGTAGATGTGCCAAATTTCTCTGGTTTCATCCTTTTGAGGGTGAAACTAAACCATGAAAATCAACTTCTCATGTCCTGAATATCTCACGCACAATTATAGTGAGTAGCAGGAATAGAGCTAAATCATAGAGTTGCTCTCTGCTAAGATTAATTGTCGGACAAATGTGTCAGATGTTTTAAAACTAGTACTTCAGTGAAGAGTACTCCTTTTCGACCCTCTCTTTAGTTCTGTTTTCCCAGAAGCAGTGCTTGGGAGGTCCATTAATTCGGCAAGAGTGTTACCACCGCCTGAATTCATAGATTATGTTTAGTTGATTACACTAAAAAACATCGACTTCTCATTTCGTCTGGTATGGATTTGTAACACAGGAAAAAGAAACAAAAGGAATTTGTAGCATTGTCCCAACTGACTCAATTGACATATGGTTCCTAAATCCTCTTTCGTAACAGTTACTACATTTTTTCCTTATCCGATAAGCTAAAAAGTACGGGAAGTACTTTGACGTCTTCCTTGGAAAATTCTTTCTCGTACACTGTTTCGACGTCTTCCTCTCTTTTCACGAATTTCCCCGTAATTAAGATGATCTTTCCATGAAGGGAGATGAAAGGTGGTCATTTGATACAGTTCCAACAGGTCTCTAGTCTCATGTCAAAAAGGTTTACTGTTTTGTTAACTCCCATGGTAAACAAAGATGGGTCTTAATCGAAGTTTTCAGGTGTTGGCGGCATCAGTTGCACTTCCTTCGTCATTACAGCAAAAACACAGAATCTTGGCAAGTAAAAGCACCTCTTAGAGACCTCCCTGACAAGCCATCAGTCATGAACACGGCTGGAAGATAACATAACACGTTTGGTCGACTCTCCGATTAATAGATAAAACAGCAGGTAATTTATTCAGAATTTGTCTCTATTTCACACGGTAAGGAAAACTACAGACACAAGGTATGACTTGATAAGGCTATGTTGAAAAACGGGTGCCAACTTTAAAGAACATTACAAACCCTAGTAGCCCGAATTAGGAAACTGGGTACAATTTAAGAACTAAAAGGAGTTTACGCATTACTTTAGATGATAAGGAGACAAAAGCGGATTATACATTGGACAAAACTTCATTAAAAATCATATCATGCATCATTCAAGAAACTGAACTTTTCTTTCCGTCCTCAGAAAAAATAACTCTAGGCAAGCAAAATATGAAGCAAAAGGTAAGTAAGAGGCGTTATTCACATTACCCCTTCAATTCTCTTTGTATCACGCTGAGAACACTTTTCCTCATGCTTAACAACCTTTATTTTCAAAATTGCCTCATTACAGTCATTTTTCTACTGTGCGCTCGTCAGAGCTTCTTATTTTCGTGTTAAGTCTCCAAGCTACTTAACCCTTACCCAACACCTTTCAAAATGATAGCCTTTCAAGCGAAGAGATATACAAATCCTTAGCATGGTACAATTTCTAACTAATTTCTCAATATTGTTGCTAAAAATATTTTATTTGGAGAAAAACTTTACTACGCAGGGAAGCCATGCTAGAGATGACCAGAAATATTTGGTTCCTGTCGCCGGCGCAATATTCATGCTCTTGGTTCTTCCAAATACGTCAGGATCACCCCTGAGGTGAGGTAGAATTCCATTCTCTTTAAAGGATCCTTACACGTCTTCTTTAAATTTTTAAAAGTGAAAATGGCTGAGGGAGTGATCGTCCCAGGAACTCCTGGAGAAGAGGTGTAGAGTCCCAAATGAGAAACTGGGGCCACACTTGGGCCACTTTAGGAAGATTTGCCCAGGACAGAACCCGATGGAGGACGGAAGTGGTTAATGGCCTATGCTCCAACCGGAGCTAAGGGAATATATATATATACATGATAAGAGTTTCGTCACGTCGGACGTCATCAGGAAAGACAATTAACTCATTATTTCTCCTTTTGTAGATCAGGACAGCCAGGTCTTTCATATTTATCGCTGGGCCAAGGCGAAAAAAGTAACCCTGGGGTATTTGATTTTGGTAAGGAACTGTTTAAAGTATTGAAGATAACGTGTACTTACCATAATGGCTGAAGCTGTTTTCCTTCTTACCTCCCTTCCTCTCTCCTGTCTCCCTCTGTCTTTCCTCGTTCCCATTTTCCCTCACGTAAACTCAATGACCATATATATTTCTCTTAGACTTTCTCAAAGTCGTTCGCTTGGTTTTCTGTTCTGGTGTGGTAGGATCAGAACGCTCCCTCGGCTCGGCTCGGCTCGCTCGCGCTTCGCGCTCACTGTCGCGCTACGCGCTCAAAAGCGCGACTTGTGAGCAAGTCTATATTTCTCTTTGAAAACGGTCCCACTGTATTTATCAAGATTAACAGGCTCAGAGATTCACAATCCTCTACATGACATTCTCAGGTGTCAGATTGGACAATGATTTACAAGACTGTAATGGAACGCAATGGAAAAAGACCTTTCCTGATCTGGATTTTGCACTTCTTGGATACGACATCCTGCACGGTGATCCCAATGCTGAATGTGACCCAGGGTTTACGCATCCTATATTCAAGGCTGATTATTCCGAACGAAGACAAAGTGCGGATTGTCGTTACAGTGTCCCAGTGGGTCTGACAGTGTACCCCTGTCAATCGTGCTTAGTGTCATTTGAGTCCAAACTTGTCCGAAATAAGCAAGAAATGTCAAAACACCTCGGAGCTGCAGCAAAGTTGGAAGGTAAACGAGAACTTAAATTCAAATTGTGAGACTGCAATCTTAATTCCTTGTTTTAAAACGAATCGTTTCTCATTGTAATTAACTACCAACCTATCTCAGCAAGCGCACTGAAGCTAGACAAGCTAGGGTGTTTGAAAGATACAGTGAGAAGTAAAAAACATTTCTTAGAGAAAACACCAGGTACAAATAAGTATGGAGATAAACGTGAATATCGGGATAGCAATATCCCAGCACCTATTTTTAGGGGTTCTGTAACTCGAATTTGTTTTTCTCTAACGAAGTAGCACCTCAGGTGTTTTGTTTCTTTCGTGTTTTCACTGTTACATCTCTAAATAGTCTCATTGCGGGACGTAGTGATGACAATAGTAGAACTGAAAACGTTTTTGTTGTGTCAGGGAAAATAAACAAAAGTACCGCCAGTACCGGACAGCGGTACATTAGTTATAGGCATGCGTGGTCTCGGGCCCCACGCGGTTCTACTTGAGCAACGACTTGAGTCTGTAAGCCTGCTCGTTCTGTATTCGTTCAACCAGTCGAATTAAAGCCTCAGTTGTGTTACGAATCGTGTCATCGACTTATTTCTTTCCTCCTAACTGGCGCTTTCAGATCAATGTTTTGTAGGCTCTACTCCCAGATACATTTATTTGGACATTTACAGCCTTGCCTTCCCTTTCAATGTCTCAGTGTTCTATAGGGGTGTCCCAACTAATGATATCTGACATAACTTAACTGGAATAATGTACTGACGCTAAACCCAAGAGTTAAAAGAGTTAGAAGAGTTAACCATGGTTGTTTAACACTAAGTACATTTATAGTTCACCACTAAATTTTCTCCGGTTCTTATTGGTTTAAATCGATCACGTGACGCGATAGTGTTCATCCGTGGAGAGACACCCTCAGCCCATAGTGCCCGCCCGCGGAAAATACCCGGATGGATAGTGCCCGTCCGCGGAAAATACCTGGATTGATAGTACTCATCCGTGAAAAGTTTTGAATAGTTTGACGGCCGCGAAGTTAGGCAGATCGGAAAAACAGTGACTTTTCAATTCTGACAGGTATAACGTATTATTTAGCCAATGTACGGTTGCGAATTATTTACATTTGTGACAAGCTGTAGGCGCGGAAGAAAATTTAGTGGTGAACAATAAAAACAATAGAGTGTTTATGCCTCGGAACTATCGGTCTGATAGTTGCCCCTTGGAAATTTGATGTTCTTAAAACTAGCATATTTGCCCTCGAAGCGAAATATTTGTTTTAAGAACATCAAATTTCCGCGGGGCAACTATCAGCCGATAACTCCTCGACAGAAACACTCTATCGTTTAAGTAGAGCCCCATGATGTTTTTTATTTCAATCATTTAGGTGGAGGCTGGGGATTTCAATTCTCTGCCAGTGCAAGCTATAAGAGAGATGTGGCTGAAATGTCTTCTGGAGAGTATGTGCGCGTAATTTCCAGTGCACAGTGCCAGTACTACCGCAGCCATATTGATCTCACGAGACCTCCACCGTTTCATCCCGGTTTTATTGAGTGGGCAACAAAACTAGCTGATCCGCGGGCTACAGATGGTGATGTACTACAGTTCGTCAAATACTACGGAACTCACTTCTTCTCAGACGTTACATTTGGTGCAAAGTTCATCCAAAGCCACAAAATAAGTCAGGCGGCTCTAACGACCCTAAGGAAAGAATCCATCAGCGTGGAGGTCCAGGCGAGCTACTCAGGTTTATTTAGCATCGGAGGAGGATTTTCCATGGACAGCGATCAAAGAAACGCCGCCTCAAAGTTTATGAAAAATGTACAAACCACAACCATCACTGTTGGATCCTCCCCACCCAGCAATGGAGACGCGATGACTTGGGCAGCGTCTGTTCAATCGAACCCTGTTCCAACTAAGTACACTCTTACGGGAATAGAAGATCTGTTTACTGATCATTTTACCAGACATCTTTCTCCCAAAGTTAACTACGGTAGACTGAAGAAGAGATTCTCGAGTGCTGCATATAAATACTGTCAAGTTTTGAAAATGCAGGGAAAGGTCTCTAGGTGTAAAAACAGGTATAACGTTGAAGGAACTGACATTGGATTTACACAGAAAGGTTTCAAATCCTTTTTGTTGTTTTGTGTTCACAATGCCACTCCTTTTTAATCTATACTTTTATTCTATTGCATCGTTAAATTCAGTTCAGGTTGTACTTTTTCCTACACAACACAAATCACAGATTCGGTAATTATGTCGAACGAATTAAGAGTACAATTTCTCGCTACATTTCAAAGCCTTTTTCTATTGATATTCACATTTAGTACAATTTCTGTGGCTCTGTTTATTTATCTGCAACAATGTGCTGTACTACTATAGTTCATGTGTTCTTATCGTATCCAAGACTGAGAACTATGCGTTGTTTTTTTCGTCGCTTTAGTACGTTCTCATTGTCCACCATTTTTCTTGGCTTTTCAGGTTACAAATACATCCGTGACGTAGACAGAGTCACTTGCGAAGAGACTTGTCTAGATGACGTGGATTGTGTGGCGGTTGAATTCCGTAATTTTACGTCAACCATTTGTAGTTTCTTCAAAGGTGATGTTGTTAGTAGAGTGGTAACCCAACAAGGAAGCCAAATTGTAGTTTTCTTATCACAGCTAGCAACCAACAAGAAGGTCCTCTCGCTAGAAAAAGCAAGCTTTCGAGGGTATGCATTTAAGGCCCCCAGGCATGATAAGCCGCAAGATTGTTGGCGGCAGTGTGAGGATGAACTCGAGTGCGACGCCTATTCGTGGAGTTCATCGAGGAGCCTGAAGTGTTCTCTGTTTTTAGCTAAACATATCACATATATCCGATATTCTTCAACATCCCAGGCGGCACTAGTACAAAACAAATAATTTAGCAATTTATATCTACACTAAGTCGCTTGGTACGCAAATTTTGAAGTACTGCTTGCAGCGTTAAGGATTAAGGTAGGCTATCTAGAGACAATAATTGAGGCCGCAAGTTTCCATTAGTTAGACCTCCGTCAGTGGCCGGCCAGACTCATACTATGTACAAATGCCTCCTAAAGGAAATAGGAGACGTCTGCATGCAGGCTATAGCCGCACTTTTTTGTTGATAGCGCGAACACAGCACCAATTCACTGTGATGATTGCATAAGTCAGAAATAAACACGTTTGTCCCAGATAGAATAAAGGTGTGGAAAATGGATCAATTCATGCTTTTCGAACACTCCTTAGCGCAACAACAAGCCCTTCTGCAGTGATACCACCATTAGCCGAGGAAAGCATTTCAGTATCAGTTAGCTCTGTCCTTCTTAAAGCAATGAGACTGAAGAGTACCGAAATAAATTCTCTTGTCTATTGCTATTGCTATTGATCTCTAAGTCGGGCAATAAGCTCCGTGCAGGCAATGAAGATATGATAACTCACTTGATGTTGGTCTGAGTGTCGGTCTACTGCTCAGCGAATTGCCGGGATTCTCACTTGTTGACTTGCAATAAGAAATAAGAATGTTCCATATCATAAAAATAAATTACAAAGTAACCTAGTTCTTCCTACTTATTGCATCTGTGTTCAGTAGTTGTTGCGTCATGCAAAGAAAAACATTATTATTAGAGCATCTTCCACAAATCTACCCCCACTTTGTCTCAAATTGTATGGAAGATTTTGCCAAGTGTCGCGAGCAACAGAATGATTCGTACCTGATGGGGAACGTTGACGAAAAGGAAACAGTGGTTTAGAGTAGGGAATTGAAATTGGGCGCTTAACTTTATAGTATTGTGAACAGGAGGGTCTCTTCCGACCCTTAAAAGCTCTCTTTAGCTTTTGGATTTTGTCGCATCTGATTTTGTTGTGTTGATATTCGATGTTAAAGAAGGGACTATCGCTAAGGTCATAGAGAGTGGCATTCAATCAAAAGTAAAAGTCACAGTTTGATTATGAATGTGGTATATGAGAACGGGATTTAAGCTGATTTAAAAGGACGACTTGACTCCTTTATAACCCATGCATCTTGAGATAACGCTTTAGTCCATGATATTTCTCGCTTCAACTGCAACGTTTCTTGGTCAGTCACTACATGACGTCCTCAGCAAGCGTATCCCGTATCTCTGAAGAACGAAAACGGGATAAAATGTTTTCCGTTCTATAAGTTGACCCTATTTCGAGACCAAATTTTTATGTACGACCAAAGAAGTCTAAATTCAGCAATCTATTCTTCTAACGGGTGTGTCGCCGTCAACAGCTATCAATGTCAACAGCAATAAAGTGATCCACCAACTCTTGGTCGACGGATGCCGCACTTAAAAGGTGTGCCTGTTTACCTAAATGTGGTTAACTTCTATTTTTTCTTTTTGTTTTTGGAAGGGATACTCGATATTTTCATTAAAAATGTTGATTTGAGCATAGGTAGACCACACTCTGTGTTCGTGGTTAATAACTGTTGACTTGAGACGAACAAAATCTAACAGGATTATGATTAAAGCTCTGAAAATAGAGCACTTAAATTACGTCTCGGTCTGAATATCTCGATAAAATTAAATGAAATATTAATTAATCGACTCATTTGTGGTATTTTGTCGCCCTCACGATGCTACAAACGGAATACTGAAGCTGGTCGGCACGAAGGTCAACTTTAAATTCTGAAAGCGGAAATCATGGAGGAATCCACCGCGAGATTACTTTTCTTTGTACTGATCGAGTATCTTCTGCATTAATGGCGCTGCGCGTTTGTGACGTCACAAAAATTTGACCCCCCAGAGCGATTAGGACAAACAATCAAGCTTCTCGAGTAAAGGAATATGGGCGATGATGCGCCCATCTGTAGTTCAAACGTCTCTAAAGCTCGTATTTTAAATAAAAACGACGGTGTTCCTGGCTCAAAGTTCGAGCAAGACCCAGAGAACAATACAAACACAAATCGAAGCGTTGGTTAAAGTGTAGAGGCTTGAAATTAAGCGGAAAACGAGCAGACCTCATCCCACGTGTTCGTGAGTGCCTCAAGTCGGGAAAACATTATGTACTTGATTCAAGTGAAATGGGAAAATGGCTTCAGGCGAAGATACTAAAGGAAAGTAAAGTCGATCGCGTGAACTTAAGG